TTCAGCATCACCCGCACCACCATCGAAGTCGTAGTCCAGGGCGGAGAGGACCTGGCAAAACCCAGCATGCACTGCTACTTGTGCTAGTCACCCCTACAGCCAGTAGCCAGCCAAATCTCGGTCCAAGCTTCTTGTTGTCACTGATCAATGCACTGCACTACTACCCAGAAGTTCCCAAACTTAGCTTTTGCATACACTTGCATACAGACAGAAGCACCTGCACCAGCATCTTGGAATTCGCCCAGGAAGTCGATGACGAAGTTGAGCACCTGGCGTGTTGAGGGGATGTGCGGGCTCGGATCGGGGGAACGAGGGCCGTTAAGCTAGGGGTGAAGGTCTTTGAAGGAGTATGTCATTATGCCGGTATGTATGTATGTATGTATGCATGCGTATTAATATATAAATATATAGTATATAGATATATGCCCGTCTTTATAAGTAAGTACGTATGCATGCGTGTATATTTAGCTCTAGGTATCTGCGTAGGTGTGTAGGTCCGTATGTAGGTATTTACGGAAGCGTGCAAAGATGCATGGATGGACTAACCGACGGATAGCTGGATGATGGCTTTATGATTGGTGGGTGGCTCCATATAACTATGTGTACTAGATATAAAGATAGATATGTATGTGTATGACTAAGTATCCACCGATGTATGAATGTGCATGTATAAAGAAACATGCATATGTGTTCACATGTCATGTGTCGCACGGTATGTGCGTGCGTGTGAGCATGTGTTCGGGTTGGCTTGTGTGTGTGAGAGAGTATGTTACATGAGCAACTGAGTGCATGTTTGCATAAGACCTTTCCTCCAATCATTCGGTCACACAAGCCATCAAAAGCTAGAACTTGGCGTTCTACTCTGGCATCAAGACAAGCACCTGCCTGCATTGGGCCCATAGAGAACCACGTCTAACATTGAAACAAGTTTCGCTACCTTACACGGAAGTATAGTTAGAGGCAGCAGACATCGAGAGGTGCCGAACACGTGGCTTTATCAAGCTTGGCGGCATCATCAAAGCTAGACCGAATCTTGTGTAAGCCGAATGAACCCAAGCCCATATCCGATAGTGCCTGCCCAGCAAGCTGAAGCCACAGGCCAAAATATCTCACTCCTCGGCTTTGGCCGCTTTGCTTTGCAAAGTGGCCCTGGCCTTACGAATGGTCTCAGGGCTGACATCCGATCGCCTCTTCCCTCTGAAGGTAGCCTTCTCGCACGTGGGACACCCTCGCTCGGCAAAGCGGCAAGACGAGCATCCCAGCGACAAGACAGTGCCATCCGACAACTTCGGTGGCACTCTCTGCTTGCCGCCCTTTCTCATCTTCCCCCAAATCTTATCCTCAGCGGGAGCCTTCTCCTTTCCCTTGCCTCGTCCTCGTCCCTTGCCCTTAGCCTTCGGCGTAGCTTTCGCTTTCGGGGCATTCGGAACCTTGGTGGTCTTGGGGGCCTTCTCGGCTTTGGCCTTGCTTTTAGCCTTCGCCTTAGCTGCACCCTTCATGGCTGCAGCTTTTTTCCCACGTGGCTTCATTTCATCTTTGATCTTCTGCCGAAGCTTCGCCTGCATTCTCGGATCCACCTCGTCGCCCTCGTCGCCCTCTTCGCCCTCTTCCTCGCCTTCCGGCTCAATCACTTCATCGTTTTCCCAATCTCCGGATTGCTCCTCTTCCCCCTCCTCAAAGCCACCGGTGGACTCAGGCTCACCGTCGGCGTCGTCGGCTGCGAGCCGCTTGTCGTCGTCCTTCGTCTCCTGCCGATATTTATTAAGAAAGGTATCATAATCTAGCTCTGTGTGTGTGTGTGTATGACACATGCAGACTCTAAACGATCATGTCAATCCTCGGCAGCGAAACTCAAAGCCCGTGGGGCAAGCGGTGATCCAGGCATCTGCTGGGTGTCCTCCTCGTGCGGATTCTTATGGTGGCCAAACCTACCCTATGTTGCAGTGCAAAACCCACATGTGATTGGCATGCGAGGCCTCATCCGGCTTCTTCTCAGCGGGGGCCTTGCCATTGGCACCTGCACGACTTTGATAGCTCAAATACAACCTCAACCCCCAATCCTGTATTCCAGCTTGCATCTACACAAGCCCACCTTCGGTGGCTTTCTGCGGGGATCTCTGCCTCGAATGATATGAATGGCAAGTGCAACCAATTGACCAACACTTTCATGAAATCCGAAACACTATACCGTGCGGTTTAGTAGCATCTGCAGCGTCTTGATCTTGTCCATGATCTGCTTCAGCTCTTCCTCCTTGGAAGCCGTGGGGACCTCCTGGTAGCTTTCATCAGTCGATGCCCTGGGAAGCTTGCTTGCGGGAGTGACTGGGTCCTCGGAGGACTCTTTCGACAAACCCTTGCGGAGGCGAGCTTTGCTTTTCATCTTCCTAAGCTTCTTCGGGGGCGGGGGAGGCATCTCATCCTCCGCCTGTTCCTCCTCCCCTTCCTCTTGGCCTTCATCAGCCTCCTTCCTGTGCTCCTCCTCCTCGTCTTCATCCCACTGATCATAGGCTTCCTCATCATCTTCCGGAGCAGCCTCGTCGGGCACGGGCTCCTCGTCCTCGCACTCATCTTCCTGATATTCCTCGTCCTCCTGTTCATCTGGGTTCTCTTGAGCTTGGCGGATTGACTGGATCAAAGCAAACAGGTTGCGGACACCGGCATCCTTGCTGCAGGGAACAAGTCTAGCAAATAGTACCCTGCGAAAACACAAACAAACAGAGTGCATATAGCTCAATCATTGATGCTGATAAGTTTCTCTTGGGGTCTGGCCTCGTTTGTAAGAGTCGTACTGGCGTTTCCAGGCGAAGGTAATGAGCCTCCGAAGATCCCACGACTCCTGGTAGAAGGCTCCCTCGGCAGCCTCCTGCTCCACGAGTTCGTACAGCTTGGTCACCTGTTCCGGGCTATGGTGCTTTCTCTTCTAAGTAACCTTACAAGGCATTGTTGAAACCAGGGACCTGCTTCTGCAAAGGCTCAATGTGCACAGGGTTCGGCCCGTAGACTTCAACAATGCAGTGGAGGGCATCTGCATTCATTGCGAGGGCCGCTGTCGAAACCGGATGCGTATCCGCCTTGTCCCCCACAGGCACTGGGAACTTCACCCATTTGCCGGTTCGCTCGAACCTTTTTCTGATTCGCCGATTCCCTTCCCACTTCTTTGCAAGCACAAACTTCTCCGCCGATTTTTTCGTTCGTGCCATCCTAAGATTAAAACTCCGAGAGCACCGTGCTATTGGATCCCTCGAGCACAAAACCTTCAGGAAAGGGCTCCGATTGCCTTGAGCTATGTATCCCAGATGCATGCGAAGCTGGCTTGCTGAGGCTTTCCACATCATTCCAACAAGTGGTACTTCAGTAGTGAGCAATACAAGCGAGACAGGCGGCCCGATCACCATTGAAAGCAGGCTGCAAGCCCATCCTCGCGAACGGTAGGGCCCTGTTTAGGCTTTGGTAACTTGAACAGTTTTATGTCGACCCGTCTGATGTTGCCCTAACCCGACCGCCTCAAGCAGACACTCAATTATAGATCGATTGCCCCATCTCTTGAAGCAGTCGCTAGCTATACGAGCCAAAATACCTCTATCTTCTCACTCACTCTCTCTTTCTTTCTCTCTCTCTCTCTCTCTCTCTCTGTTTTGTCATACTTCTGTGGTAAATACAACCACAACTATAAGCTCAGAAGCTCGCTCAGCAGATATCTCCCTCCAGCACAAACCGTCCTTCGTGACACTGCCAGGCTTCAGCTCCGCATCGTCGCGTGAGGGCCGTGCTGCTTTGAAGGGCTTTGTGTAGGGTTTATTGCGGTTTATTTTAGGGTAATCGGGGCATTCGCTATCCATCCCGGGATGTCGAAGGATTCGATACATATCTCAGCACACCATAACACTAGAATGAAGTCGAGTTTGGCTTTCCAGCATGACTAAGCTAGCTAAAGGCACAAGTTAAGTCCATGACGTCAGCGAAAGCTCGAAGAAAAATGGGCGGACAAGCTCATGCTCTGCACCTGAACTTCAGCTTAACAACCACCTAAAACCAAAGTTGATGATTTCTCCTGTTGACGATTTTGGCGGTGTATACTTTCATTGGCTATCATACAAGAAGTTGAGAACTATTGTTGGCACTTCGTCAAGTTGATATTAATACTGGGCACTTCGGCGCTCCAGGTAAGCCCTAAACCCTAAAGTGCAGGTTTAGGGGTTCAGGGCTTCAAGAGTTTACGGCTTACGGCCGGAACTCTTGAAGTTTCGAATTTCTCAGATGAGAAACTAAATCAATATTAATTAGGGGCCTTACTAATTGACCGTACCATTTTGGGGGTTCATGATTATGGTTATGGTATAGCGGGCCCCAAAGCCCTATTCCAGTTACTAAGGCCCCTTATAGTAGGGAGCCAGGATTGGGATCCCAAGCGGTTCGATAGGAGGTCCTTTTAGGGTTCCTCTGGAGAGGGGTTGTACAGGAGGTCCTTTAAGGGTCGCTTTGCGGCGTTACAAAAGGTCCCTGTAAGGGATCCCCTGGAGATCCAGAATGCTTGGTGTACGTGGTCTGAGGGGTAGTGCCCGTGATTTTGAGAAGTAGGCACCCTCGAACACCGGGGAGTAAAGCAGAGCCCGCCCCAAACAGAAAAATCAACGAGCCCCACAACGCCCCAATCCAAAGGCCGCAGTCATTCTCTGACAGCCTCGAAACCCCTGTAAAACCCTAAACCTTAAGCCCTAAACCGTACAGTCCATCAAAGTCTTCATCCTAATTTCGGAAGAACCATGGGGGTGTTTCGAGACTTTCGGTTTTCTGACTTCATGGCCCAGACGTTCTATAGGGGCCTTAATAACTACCTATACTGTTTTGAGGGGTTTCTGACTATAAGTATAGTATACTGGACCCCAAAACCCCCCTATTCTAATTATGAAGGCACCTATATTAGTTTCTGTCGGGTGTTTGGATGTGGTGTTTCATACGAGGTCATTCGTTCATGGTATGTTAATGTTGTTTTGCCCCAGGAAGCAGAAGACATGCCTGTGCAGATGGTGGATCTCTGGGAGGACTGGGAAGCTGGGATTTGGGGTTTTGGGTTCCGTGTTCGACTCTGAAAGCAAGGGTTTGGCGTTTACTACAGAGGCATAAATTACAACTACCAATACTATCTTAGGGGTTTCTGTTATCATTGTACATAAGAATTAAGGCCCCTTTGTTAGGGTTGGGGTGTAGGGTTTAGGGCTTCTTCGTGCAGAGACATTTTCGGGAAGTCGTACGGGGGTTCGACACCCTGTCATGACATGCTGTTCAAGGGACGTCGGCCCATCTCTTTTGGAGACTAATATGGGTGGTTGTCAAAATTCTGGTCCTCTTTTGGGTCCTTAATATACAACGGCACCTAATATTTAGGGTACCAAAAAGGGACCATAATTTTGACAACTACCCATATATAGGGCCCTAAAGAATTGCCTATACTATGTTGAGGGTTCCTTCTCATAGATGTGGTGTAGTGGGGCCCAAAAAAGCCATTCTGATCATTAAGGCCTCTATATAATGATGTGCATGCCTTTCCTCGTGCTGGCTTGTCACGTGTGATTGCCCGGACAAACGTCTCATCAAAGGTCACTGGGAAGCGTGAAAGGCATTGAAAGCCATTGCTGGGCAAGCTGCAATGACTGGTAAGTTTCAGGTTTTTGTGGATACCGAGATCCGGTTGGTTCGGGTTGAATATCTGCAGCAGCTTGCGCAACTAGGCAGCTGTGTCCGCGCCGCCAGAAGCCGAACACACTGTATCTCAGAATAGATTATGTTTTCCTTCAAGGGTTGCTTTAAAGGCTCTTTTAAGGGTTCCTTTAAGGGGTGATTTAAGGGTTCCTTTAGGGGTTCCTTTATGGCACCCCCCCGTCATGAAAACAAGCCGCCATCACCTTGTTCCAGGCTGCTGAAGCCGACCTTCAGGCCGATCTCCGCCACGAGAGCCACGGGGAGCCGATGAGCAGGGTTTAGGGTTGAGGGTTTAGGGTTCAGGGTTTAGGGTTCAGGGTTCAGGGTTTAGGGTTTAGGTTTAGGGTTTAGGGTTTAGGGTTCAGGGTTTAGGGTTTAGGTTTAGGGTTTAGGGTTTAGGGGTAGTTCCCCAAATTAGGGGACCCTTTTGGGACGCTTTTTTATAAGGTTGCCGTATTCTGTTTGCGGACCGAACAAGGGACCCTTAAGTAGAAAACTGCCCATATCGGGGCTTCTTCAGGGTTTATGTAAGTAAGGGATTTAGGGTGAAGAGCTTGTGCAGCGGGTCTTCGGGTTAATATAAGGGATTTGAAGAGCTCAGGGTTAAGGGGGTTCTTGAAAAGGATTTCAGGGGCTTAGGGCCAAAGTCTAGGGCTCAACAGGTTTAGGGTCAAGGGTTCAGACTTTAGGGCTGCGGGGGTCTACTGTAGGCTGTAGGAACTTCAGTAACCCTATCAGCCCCGTACAAACATTAACTTCAGGCTCTCAGGATTAGGGACTTGGCCTTTGCTTTTCCGGGAAGACTGGGTTGAAGGGTGAAGGGTTTAGCCTCAGAATAGATTATGTTTTCCTTCAAGGGTTGCTTTAAAGGCTCTTTTAAGGGTTCCTTTAAGGGGTGATTTAAGGGTTCCTTTAGGGGTTCCTTTATGGCACCCCCCCGTTCGTAGAATTTTAGAAGGGCTTAAGGGGTTCCTCTCAGTAGAGCTGAAACTGACTGAGCGGGTTGAGGGGCTTTGGGTTCAAGGCGTGCCTTTCTTCAGGCTTTCTTGGAGGATCATGGGACTTAGTAAGTAAGGTTTAGGGTCTCTTTTTAGGGTACTATAGGGTTCTATAATGGGGTTCCTTAAAGGGATCTGATAAGGGATCTATAATGGGGATCATGGGACTTAGTAAGTAGGGTTATAAGTACCTTAGTTGGGGTTATAAGTAGTTATAAGTATAGTTACCTTACTTACAACCCCAGGTACTGAGTCCCATGATCCTCTAAATTCAGGTCTGGGAATAGGGGCCGTCCAAGCCTTACTTAGGATTCGGCCCTCGACCTAACAAAAAAGCCAGGCCTGACAGCCGTACCATACAGTAAAGGGAACTCCAGAAAGTTGGAATATGGTTTCAGGGTAGGATACCCTATAACTTACCATAAAGCGTTTAGGATAATCATATTCCAACTTTCTGGCTTTTACCTTAGCCTAAAGAGGTCTGACAAATTCAGGACGCTACCCCCTCACCTATTTTCAGAAGTTGTAAAAATAGTTCTAACCTTTTAATTGGCGTATATTCCTTTCTTCAAACTCATGATATTTCATATGGAACGCATGGCACCGACTTTAGGCAGTAGCTTCCTTTTCGTGATTTTTCTGTGTTTCTACCGGAATGATCCTGCCACTCAGGATCTTTGTGAAGGTCCGTCATTTTGCAAAGCTCATATAACACAACCTCTGAAAACTTTCTGCAAGTGGGATCAAGATGAAGTGCATAGCAGCCCAAATAATGAGAAGTATTAGCCCGTTAATGGCCTCTAGAAAGTACCATTGTAAGACACCCACAAGCCCCATTCTAAGCTTTATCAAGACCTTGATGTTTTTTGGCCTTCAATTACTTCTGGGACACAAGAAGAGAGCGTCTCCCAAGTGTCTGGCTTCTACTTATATAAGCCTTAAATGCCCTAAGCCTCAACCCCTTGACTTCAAAGTGAGCTAAGTGAGGACTGCACCTGCATTAAGCATCCCTCCATTGCTAAGGTAATTTGGGCTTTAGGTTTCAGGAAATACCCCATATGCATCCCTCCATAGTTTAAGACATTTAAAGGTTTGGGGTCTACGGAACCCCTAAACCCCATAAACCTTGCACCCAGTAAGCCCCAAATCCCCAACCCCCAAAAACCCTACACCCTTTAAGCTTATAATCCCCTAAACCCTTCCCTAAGCCGCCTAAGCCCTAATTCCTTCCCGCCAGGAGGACCCCGAGACGCCCCCTCGGAGCTTTGCATCTCAGCCGCTTCCCACGCCCTGCCGCGCCCGCGTGAGCCCGACGCACATCCCCGAAGCAGGTCCCTAGACCTTTCCGAGCCGTTAAGGAATATACCTTAAATTATAATAGGATCCCTAATATGATTTAAGGTATATTCCTTAAGGGATTTTGGAGGGTCTGGGGGCTTATGCTTTGGGGTTGAGCTTTCCGAGCCATGTTAGTGTTTAAGGTTTAGGTCCTTAAGGCTTAGGGTTGCGAACAAGATTTCCTAGGGTGTTGATGTGGGATAGATAGGGTGGTACAGGGCTTTACGGGGTCTTTCTGGCTCAATCACGGGTTCTACAGGGATCAGATGTGCAGTCTATCTGAACAAAGTAGGGTTGCACGTGCAGGTTTTAGTAGGGGCCTATATGGGAGATTCCGAAAATTCGCGCTTCCTTATTTTGGGGTCCTTATAACAAGGATCCTACTATTTAGGTTACTATATTATAGTAGGGTCCCCTGTGTTCGGAAACGCCCATATGGGTTTTCAATTAAGGGCTTCTGGGGGTTTTGGATCTCCGGAGGCTGGTTGTTAGAAGTAGCATTTTCTTGTTGCTTCTTCTGTATGGCGGGCTTCTAGCGAATTTTCCGGAGTGGCTCAGAGCTAACTCTCGTCAAGAATCTTGTATTTAATGACTTACAATGCTGATTGAGGACTGCAACCATGTTGAGAGGGTCTTCAGGCAATTATTCACGGCTTGAGGTGCAGACCCTAAACCTTAAACCCCAAACCCTAAACCCCAAACTCTAAACCCAAAACCCTGGACCCTAAACCGTGTAGAGACCAGAATCCGAGATTCCAAAATGGGAGTTTCCGAAATTAAGGGGTACCTTATTTTGGGGTTCTTTTGATAAGGAGCCTACTATTTAGGGTACTTTGTTAGGGCCCCCTATTTTCGTATTTGGGGGGTCCTTGTAATAAGAATAAAACTATTTGGGGTACTGTATTAGGGTCCCCTATTTTCGTATTTGGGGGTCCTTCTTATGAGGAGGCTACTATTTGGGGTAGGTACTATATTAAGGTCCCCGAATTTTCGGAACCCCCCAAATCTACAACTTGACGAGACACGCCTGGACCCGAGTTTCTTTAGTAAGCCAGTGGGTTTCAGTTGGGCATGGGCTTTAGAGTATAACATGTATGTATGTATGTATATTATATATATATATATATATGTATGTATATATATATATATATATATATATATATATATATATATATTTGCATACATACATACATACATACATACATAAAAACATAACTACATACCATACATACGCATATATATATATACACATGTATATACAGTATTTACATATAATACATATATATATATACACATATATACATCTAGCTCTCTCTCTCTCTCTCTCTCTCTCTTCTCTCTCTCTCTCTCTCTCTCTCTCTCTCTCTCTCTCTCTCTCTCTCTCTCTCTCTCTCTCTCTCTCTCTCTCTCTCTCTCTCTCTCTCTCTCTCTCTCTCTCTCTCTCTCTCTCTCTCTCTCTCTCTCTCTGTAGCAGGTAAGATGACTTACTGCGTGCGGGGACTTCGTGGTTTCCTTCTCCAAGTCCTTAGAAAGGTAGGCGATATAGTGTCGAGGTAGGATCTGGGTTTAGGAACATCTTTCGACTCCCAGCAGCGACGATCGCCCATGCGTACAAGATGGCCAGACAGGACCCCATCGGCACTCATGCTAGAAGTATGACCTGATTATAGTATTAGAACATACCCCCCCAAAAAAAACCTACTTACTCCAATTTCAACGACCTTTGTAGACAATTAACAACTTTAGGATTTGTGTTTAAGCGACCGCTCTCCCCATTCCTGAATCCATAGGGCCTAGGTCGAGTTTAATGGTGTTCAATATACAGGCCTAACTAATCAACTAGCCATCTAGTTGGATAGTCACAAACAGGTCACATTATTCCAAAAAAAGTTCCTAAACCCCAGACCCCCAAACCCCTAAAGCAGATCCTGCGATAGGTCCTGAATCGAGCAGGGAGCAGCAAATGTTGCCGCTTGGATAGAAGTAGGTTCAGGAAGTTTAGAGTTTAGGCTGGTGTAAGAGCCGAAGACAATGATGAAGGCGTTGATTTTCTTGTGGCCCCAGGGGCACCTTAGGAAAGCTTTCGTTTGGTTCAGCGATAGCAAAGAACCCACCTCAAGCCTGGCCTTAACCACTCGTAACCCCACGCTCTCAAGCATGAGATCCTCCAGGCGTACAGTGTTTGAACAAATGGTACAACCTGGATAGGGTTGGGTGAAGTTTCGTTCCCTGCACATGTCGTGTTGCTTAGCTGAGCTGGGTCAGGTTGGAAGTACAATCGGTTGTGCATGTAGGCATGACTTGAAAGCGGAAATCTCATTTGCCCAAAACCATTCCACGGACTACAAATCCTTGCGATGTGAAACCTAGAATGCCTGACGGTGCTTTGGGTTCCGTGGTTGTGCTGCAGTGTTGCGAATCCAAGATTCCTGCATCCTAAATACTACTATGACAATTATGTTGACTTGTTATGGTCATTGCCATCATTATAGTTTGCTGTTGTTGCTAATCCTATCTAAGCTACTAAAGCCCAAACCCCGAACCCTGTACCCGTAAATCATCAGCCCCACGTCTTCGACCTCGCGGATTTGAAGATGCTTCAACTTCCCCCAAGTGCTCATATCCTTGGGAAGACAGAGATATTTCGAGTACTGCTGCGGTACGAATAGCTGATTCCGCTGTGACACTAGTGGTATGCAACAAGTATGACGGTGATGGAGATCATGGCGATGAGGAAGCTTTGTCATAGTTGGGTAACATTTTACGTTTTATGGGTACTTAAACCCAATAAGGAATAAACGATTACATTTATGAAACCTATCCCAACCATGAGCTAGGAAGGAGGGAAGAGCAAGATGATGTTACAGGAAGCTCTCAACCCTAAACCGGGAAGAGGTCCTTAAAAAGGAGCTCCCGAAGCCCTAACCCTAAATCCTAAACCCTACCTTAACCCTGAAGAACCTACCTTTTTGAGGTTCCTTATTATGGTTTCCTTATATAAGTCCTTAAAGGGTAGGTTCTTCCGGGTTAAGGCAGGCAACGCCTATAACCCCTGAACCCCTAAAAGAGAGGAGGAGATGGGCCGCCCCTTTAAAGTAAAAGCCAGAAAGTTGGAATATGATTATCCTAAACCCTTTATGGTAAATTATAGGGTATCCTACCCTGAAACCATATTCCAACTTTCTGGAGTTCCCTGTATTGCCAGGCCAAACCTCGCTGCGCCATCCTCGGCCTCTGAGCAGGAGGCACGGGAGGGAGGGACCATGCGCCTGAGCGCTGAAGTGGAGGGCTTAATAGCTCGGATATACTTATATACATATGTGTACATATATATATATGTATAATTATGTGTATATATATATACATACTTATATATTGCAGAGAGATGGATAGACACGCACACTCACACACACACACACACTTGACACATCGTGTCGCAGGTCTGATCTGTCGGTTCATACTGTCAGGGGAAGTCAGCAGCCGTCAGGGAAAGTCAGAGGCTGCACGAAAAATTCAGAACATGCAGTCTTGAACAGGAACTGAGCAAGAAACTGACCGAAGCAAGCCCTCACTCAAACACAGCTCTGAGTCACACCTGAATGATCAGACTGCAGCAACCATGCAGGAAACTCGACAGTGGCAAACATGAAGCTGTCACTCTAGTGTTGGTTACTCCAGTGCCTCAGGGGGCCCACTGGCTAATCCGAAAGCAGGTACACAGTGGTGATCAACCACTGCATCCACTCCAGTGATTTGGCTTCGTTGGGCAAGGCTGATCACTGGAGCCCTTGCCCCCCTGCTCAATCGACTCAGATCTACCTACCCTTCGAAACAGGGATGGACACACACAGGCCCGACCGGGCTCATTGCATCCGTTCAATCGCTTGCACAGCACTTGCATGACAATGCGCACTCACCTTGCAATGTAGTCTTTGCGCGCTGTTTTTTCCCTGATTTTTTATGGGAAAGTCTTATGCTCAAGAGACCTAGGAAAATGGGCTACGAAACTTCAGGAAGCGCAGTCTGTGCACTAAGTGCAATTCGACTTCTGCTTCTTCCGCATCAGCATCGAAGTACATGCAACACTGAGTTGCAGTTTGGTACGCAACGTTGGCCAGTGACACAATACTCACTCGCAAACGCTCCTGTACTAGGTCTACGACAGCTCTCATCCACCTTTTTGACGGGCTGCTCAACATGGTGCAAGCCACGGCATTGATTTGTACAAAACGGATGGTGGCATGCAAAGACTGAAAGCCCATGGTGAACTCAACCGAGGAGGACAGCCGAAACTCCTGTATCCCACGTCGCAGGAACGTGTACGCCACCATGGTGTCGGTTATGGGTTGTGCCTCTTCTGGGTCATCATTTTGATCGAGGCGAGTAATGAATGTGATTCTGGCTCTGATCGGCAACACGTACATCAAGATGTTCTCGAGCACGTCAGAAGCGGCCCAATCCATGTTGTTCGGGGTCTACACAATTTTCAGAGTGCTTGAAACAAAACTCTGTTGCATGTCTGATGAAAGCAGCTCACAACACCTCAGCACTTGCACGTCTCTGACATGTTACTCTGCACATTTCTTGCACTGCACTTGCACGAACCTCGCACATCCCTTGCATATCACTTGCAATCCGCTTGCACGTCCCTTGCTCGTCACTGCTCTTGACTTGACACAGAGGTGGTCTCTTTTTATACCGTCACAACGAAATCGACTGGTTCGAGGGTTTGAGCAGTCGTTACAGGTTCCGTAAACCGAAGATGGCGAAAGTTTTGTACAAGCTGGAAGGTGTGTAACCTAGGCCACCAGCCGAACTTCTCCCAGAGCTGCATCGCGACAAGGTATTTGGCAACGTTGATGGAATCGTTGATTGATAACTGGATGTGGAGAGTAATAGTCTCGTGTCCGGTTGCCCGACTGCATACACGAACCCACATCCGAAAAATGTAGTCGCGGCTCGTGCTCCAAGGCAGATTGGCTTCGCGGGCCTTGCGCTTCATGTTGGGCAACCTACACAGTTTCACTGGATGCCAAATGCTGCAACTCAAGACGGTTCATGCAGAAAGCTGATAATGCACAGCACTGCAAACGCGCACTCTTTAGTTTCTTTCACTTTCTTTGTGCAATCTCTCACTTTCGGTCAAGAACGTACTGCACAAGTTTCAAAGTAGACGAAAAACGCTTCCTAGGGCCTTGCTTTTCTTTGGCAATGCGTTGGCCATGCTGTCTCAAGAAATCGAGAATGAACTGAGCTCTGTTGTGAATGTAGAAATCGTCACCAAGCACTCTCGTGCCTTCCATTCTGCGGCGAAATTGGGTACTGGGTGCAGGACGAATCTTGATGCGCACACCGTCAGGCCCTTCATCGATCATACGAAGTTTGCGTTTCCGCGGTGGGTCCGTCTGCAACATGTTGGTGTGCTCTGCAACTGACTGCTTCGGCTTTGGGGCATGAACTAATCGACCAGAGGACGAAGACGCAGACTGTCGGTCAATGGATGAAGACGCATTAATGCTCTCATGATCAAGATCAAAATCAGCCGAATCCGGATCACTGGCCAAAGGAACACCTGATGCCACATCTGCACGTCGATCACGTTCTTGGTCCGATACTGCAAGGTCTGACGAGAAGTCGGAAGAGTGCACGTCCGATACAGAGGCAACATCGCTCTCGAAACTGGACACCGACATGATGAAAAGCTACTTATACGGTATGAATCTGTCTTGCACTACAGGGAACCTTGAGGGCATGAGGCAGGACAATGTCTGCAGATGCTCACAACACATGGTGCCCGCAGATCGCTTGCATCACCCTTGCACATCACTTGCACGTCACTTGCACGTCCCTTGCACATCCCTTGCACGTCACTTGCACGTCCCTTGCACATCCCTTGCAACACCCTTGCAGTGACACTGGCGCACAGACGCTTGTTTGCAACTGCTCACGTTTCACTCTGAGACTTCAATCTCTGCTGGGAGCGTTGGGGGCAACTCTGTTGTTTCTTGTAGTTGAAGAGAATTAACACAATGAGTAGTCACAGATTGAAGAGAATGCAAATCCGTCAGCAAGTTGCCCACCACTTCGTTGGTCTTCTGAAGTTTCTGAAACAGTTCTGTGCTGGCGGACATGACTTCCGCCACCTGAGTCTCAGTGTCCCTGATTTGTGTGGTGAGCACGTCGAGTTGGGCTTGTTGGATCTTCTGGACGGATAAGGCTTCTTCACGAAAGTGACGGAATTCACCTCTGATTGTGATCAGCTCCTGTTGTGTGTAGGAAATCCAGCGTTGAAGAGGTGCCAACGGATCGCACGCTGAGTTGCTCGACATTAGTGCAATGGAACGAGACTTGAGCAGGGTGCTGCAACACTGTTCTGGTATGCACTACAACATTAATGAAAAAGTACTCACAGCACTTGCATCCAATGCACATTCTTTCCTCACTTCAGCACTCGCATGCGTCACAGATACAAGTGAAGTCCTGTCACTTCGGGCATACTCAGCTAAGATCAGACGATTGACTGCGTCGAAATCGGCGTGATTCACGCCTTCTGGTAGGCATGGGTTTGGATCTAATCGGAGTACCTGACGTAGCTGAAGATGTAGGTGCAGCCGACGACGAAGCGGTACTGGACACCAAAGGAGGTTCAGACACACGATGCCCCAAGCTTGCTGGTGGTGAGACGGGAGCACTGGCACTGGGCGGGGGGAAAATGGGAGGGGGAAGAGGGGGAGGGAGGGGAGGGGGGGGGAGAGGAGGAGGGCCAGGGGGAGGGAGGGGGGGAGGTGCGGAACTGGACGATGGGTTGTCGCTCCCTGCACTCGGCGTACTCCTCGTTGCTGGCAGAGAGGGTGGAGGTGCATAGGGGTGGGATCTGCAATTGCACTGGACGAACGTGATCCTGAAGCTCCGCTACTGCTAGGACGTTCTTCACGTAGGTTTGCTCTATCCCTCTCATCCAAACGACGCAACTCTTGCTGCAGCATTCTTTCTGTCCCGTCACGCACAAAAGCTGTCAATTGAAGTACAAGAGCTTGACGAAGTTGAGGTCGTGATACAAAGTTGAGCAATCTCACACGCGCTGAATGAGTGAGCGTTCTCAAGAACTCATCGATGCTAGGATCCGAAGGTGGCACCGTCGGCATGCTTGCTTGCACAGATGATCTCGTCTCTTAGCCAAAAACACTGCGATGCTAACATTTGCAAGTCTCTCACACATGGCGAGGTCAGATCAAGACATGTTGCATGCACGTCCGCTGTCAACTGATAACAGACCGCTTTTACCGTTTCATCAAAGCTTCACACAAGCGAAATGGATAACCAAGGTTCGCTAACCACCGTACAAATGTATGAACAGCTACTTCTGCTTGGCACGTTGGCCAAGTGTACTTACGGATGAGAGAGATTCTCGACTTCGCACCTGACACCAGCAATCGATCGCTGCCTGCACTCATGGGATGTCGAACTTGCCAAAGGAACTTGGGCTGGAGATAGTAAATGGTTCGGTTTCGGACATCAATATCAAATCCCAAAAAGTGACCATCACCGACAGCTTCAAGAACAATCGGAGAACCATAAAAGGTTTCTTGGCTGAAGACTTGAAAAGGCACAGTTTTATGCACTTCGGTGGGTGCAATCACCAGTCTATTGTCCACATATCTTGCAAGAAAAGTAGAAGGGAAACTCGAGATCTGCGGAAACATTGCTGCCCAACCGAGCTCAGTCATCACCACTGGAAGGGAAGAGAGGACTGGGCTGATTTGGTTACCTATGGACGTGCCATCAACTTGCTTCCACACTCGATTCAACGCCACAAACAAGCCGCATTCGAAGCTGAGACGAACAATGGTGACCAAGTCGAGTGGATCAATGGTCTTCCAATCGAAGTGCCGACGTATATTGGAAATCTTCCCATGAATGGAACGAAAATGTTTGCTCTTCTCGTTAATGCACACTGACAATTTGACATCAGGGTGCCTTGCAGTGAACATACGGACCAACATCTCCACTGCTTCCAGAATACGACTTTGAGGCACTGAGTTAAAGAACCCGACCAGATCGTCATTGAGCAGTTCGAGTTCAACTTCCAACGAACACTGCCTGAATACCTGGTGAATTTGATGCCAAATCTGTGGGACACTGCGTGACAACGAACCAGGCCATACTGTGTTGACCATTTGGTCAATGCAAATCGCTGCTGCCCTAAGAATAGGGCCCAAGGCTGTATTCTTGTAGCTGATGATGG